ATTCCCAGCTAAGAACGCTACGTTATGTTAACGGTGGAGATAGTGCAAATATCTATAAAACCAGATTTTTAGCAGGAATCCCGAAGAGAAGAATCCAACCCAGTGAACGTGCATGCCGTTGGGCGGATGACACATAGTTTTTTGATTGGCAAGATGTTTGAAGTGATGAAGGGCCAAATTATATCTTGCATGTATGTCTTCTACATGACAAAACATGGCAAAATGCTGTGTCTAATGAATAGAAAAGAGAAGGTTGTGTATTGTTTTGAATTCCAGGAATTTCCACATCTCTGTGTGTTTTCAGTGTGCTCACGGAGTGGAAAGAGATGGGTAGTTGTGATAGTTCGTTTTAATTAGAAAAACATTTTATTTTAAGAGCTTAGTGGTATTTACGTTCAACTTTTTATTCCATGTTACTGTAATATTTAAAAAAAATACGAAATTTGGAAGTGCAACCTATTAGAATAATATTTTTATGAAGATATAACCTAATGTCACTTTTTTCTTCCTCAGTTTACTTATGATCATGTTATACTTTTTATCGGTTTTATTTTGTTTTGTCAGGATCATCCTAACTGCTTCAGTGTAAGCTAAGAAAGGAGAAGTTGATACCAGTAAGGAATTGCATTTCTAATTCTTTTACACTTGCCCCTTTAAATGAAAACGAGAGGCCTGGTGCACAGATTCGTGCACTGGTGGGACATCTCGGCCTGGCCTCTGCTCTCTCACAATCCGGGACCCCTCGGGGGATGTCAAACTGCTAATTTCAGCCCCATCCCCTCAGGCCAGGCCGAGGGACCCCACTGGTGCACACATCTATGCACCAGGCCTCTGGTATGCGTATAAGATCTTTGGTTAATCTCTTCCCACTCTCCCCCCCTTCCCTCTGAGATTTATCAGTCTGCTCCATGTTTCTATGCCTGGGTGTTGAGCACCTGCCCCCTGGTGGTCAAGTGCGTGTCATAGCTACTGGTCGAACGGTCGGACGGTTGCTTAGGCTTTTATATATATAGATATTAAAAAGCCCAATATTATTTTGTGTTTCTCTGTCAGTGGATTCTTCTGGTGTATTGGGTGCTCTGTTATGTCAAGGATGCTGCACCATGTGTATGTGTGTGTAAGGGGAGTGGGGCCTAGAGCAGGGGAACAGGTGAGCTTTGGAGTCAGGCAGAGGTGAGTGGAAATCCCAGCCCAGCCCATGTTGTCATGGCTTTCCGCCATTTCCCTTCTCAGCCTTGCTTCCTTCTCTGTCAACGGATACACGCTAGTTAATATTTTGACAGATGTGATTTGAGTACATTACATACACCAAGCTAAGAGGCTGTTTCATTACTCTCTTCAACTTGAATTTATTTAGCACAAGCCTGTGGCTTGGCTTTGCTTTTTAAATATATTTTTATTGATTTCAGAGAGGAAGGGAGAGGGAGATAGAACATCAGTGATGAGAGAGGTCCATTGATTGGCTGCCTCCTGCACACCCCTCGCTGAGGAATATTCTACAGATAGGGGAATTGAGAGCCATTAAAGAACTCGTCTAAAGTTACCTAGCTGCTCATTTAGGCAAAGACATGGGCTGAAATACAGATTTCTTACCTCCACACGGGTCAAATCATTGACTTCTAGCTTCTTAATCTGTGGGGGATGTCAGCTATCTCCCCAATCAGCAAACTACCTGTTTTGTGTCCCAGATTGTGCTGAGGCTGCCCAAGTAGACAGGCTTGTCTGGTGCCAACCAGATAGTCTGGAGATATCCCTCCTGGGTATGGTCAGTGTCAATGTCTTCTCTGGTCTGCAGGGCCTTGGAATGCAGTTGGATGCCTGTGAGGCCGGCCACCCTGCCCTGAGGCTTAGTGCTAATTGCAAGAGGAGAAGGTGGTAGAGTAAATAAGGCTGCAGGCCTCTTTTCTTGTGTGTGTTGACTTCAAAACCCACCCAAACCCTGATAACCTCCTGCTCTGCAAAATCTCATACAGGCATTCTTGACTTTGGAGTGTAGACTTGTTCGGATTTAAGATGTTTGCTGTTTGCACGAACTGGTATCAGGCAGTACCAAGAAAGCTCTTGGTTCCCGATTCTCATTGGATCAAAAAAAATCTAGAGATCACCCCATCTTTCCAAAGGAAAACTATTTGAACCCAAAACAAAGTTGTGGGATGACCCACAGGATGTGTGTCTCAAGAGATCTTAGAGAACCAGCATTTGGTATATTTGCTACACGATGGGGAGTAATCATTGTGTGGGTTGTTCTCTCTTCATTCTAGATTTTTCCAAACTTTATTTGGTTTATTCCTTATCACTTTCTATCATTGCTTGTCTTCCTCTTGTTGGAATAAGCTCAAGTGCTTTTATAGCCTGATCCATAATAATAATAAAAGCATAATATGCTAATTAGACCGGACAGCTGAACGACCTTCTGGACGACCTCCCGGACGAAGCCAGGGCTGCGAGGGCCGAGCCCCTTGCACGAATTCCGTGCGTCAGGCCTCTAGTAAAATATAACTGCTAGTCATTGGATCACTAACACCAACACCTTGCATTTGCAAGATGTTTTATACTTAAAAATTTTTTCTCATTGCATATTCCGTTGTCTCAAGTTATGGGAATGTCACATATGGACTATTAAGTATATTCTACAGAGAGGGGGATTGAGGTCTATTAGTTAAAGAACTTCTCTAAAGTTACCTAGCTGCTCATTTAGGCAAAGACACGGGCTGAACTACAGCTCTCTTACCTCCACACAGGTCAAACCATTGGCAGTTGGGAGTCTGGGAGTTCTACCCTGTCTGCCTCCCCTTCCATTCTTAACCCTCTTGTTTAGTTTGGGCTTCTTATTTCATATTTGCTCGTGCTCCCCTGTTACGTTCTCAGTAGAGTGTTCTTGGCTGCTCTTTGCATCTGTTGCTCCTCGATTGTGCTGTATTCCACTGGATATTCTGCCCTGTGCTCGAATATCTGTGTGCGAAACAGCAATTTCTACATCCTCTCCTTCTGCTTCGGAATTCACCGGTCCCTAATCTCTATAGCTGACTCTTCCTATCTTACCCTACTCCTTGGATCTGGCCATGTACCCCTCTAATCTAAGATTCAGTTTCCAGCAGGGGTGTGTGTGTGCCAAGCCCTTTTGGAGGAGAGCAGTGTGCGCTTCATGACTGGGCGGGGATTAGGAAACAAAACCCTTGGTGTGGTTCTGCATTTAGACCAGGAGAAGGTTCCTCAGTGTCTTTCTTTAGTGCATGATTCTATCAGATCGTAAGAAACTGCAAGAACCTTCCAAGTTATTGGTTTATTGGGTGTCATACGTATGATTTTATTTTCTTCCAGGGCCTAGTATGGCACCTGTTCAAAGCAGATGCGTGATTGGTCATGTAGGATGCCAGGGGAGATAATGAGAAATTGTTTGCAACTACTGGAAAAGGACTTTGAACCGATAATGGTCTTAATTTCTTAGGAAATTACATGAGAGGAGGGAAAAAGAATTAATTATCTTGTAGGATTAAACTCAGTAATGAAAAGTTGACAGGTATTTCATTCTTGAGCAAACATTTAAAAATGCTTTCCTAAGTGTCCTTTATAGCTATTACTAGAGGCCCAGTGCACGAATTCGTGCACCAGTGGGCTCCCTCGGCCTGGCCTGCGCCCTCTTGCATCCGGGACCCCTTGGGGGATGTCGGACTGTCAGTTTCGGCCCCATCCCTGGAGGCCAGGCTGAGGGACCCCACCGGTACATGAATCCCTGCGCTGGGCTCTAGTATGCATATAAGATCTTTGGTTAATCTCTTCCTGCCATCCTCCCGCCCACCTTCCCTCTGAGATTCATTAGTCTGTTCCATGTTTCCATGCCTGTGTGTTGAGCATCTGCCTCCTGGTGGTCAGTGTGCATCATAGCTACTGGTCGAGTGTTTGAGTGGTTGCTTAGGCTTTTATATATATATAGATTATTGCAATGAAGACACTATTTGCTAGGTCTATTTCTAAGAGTGTCAAGCGCATTATCCTTCTGAATATCCACTACAGACTTTGAAGTAGATGCTGTCATTTTTTTTTTAAGATGAGAAAACTGAGGCTTTAGGGTGTTGGAGTAGCTTTCCCAGAAGCCCTCATCCAGGCCTAGGAATCAGAACCTGCATTAAAAAAAGATCCCAGATGACTGAAGTGCCTAGTAAAGTTGGAGAAACACTGCTTTATTTTACAGAGTTCTTGTTCATGATCCCTACACAGCCCTGCCTCTCAGGGGAGTCTATGATAAACGCTTTGTTAAGAGGACTAGCTGACTCTGATGTGAATTCAGGTCATTGAAAATAGACTTTCTCTTGGTTATATGTCCTAATTTTGTAGATTTCAAATTCGTTATTTCTGCATTTTCCGTTTTTTTTCAGCTGAGGGTTCTGAGATCATCTTGGGTTTTTTTGTTTTTAAATTTAATCTTTGTCGTTGAAAGTATTACATCGGTCCTCCTTTTCCCCCATTAACCTCTTCCAGCCCACTCCTTTCTGCCCCCCGCTCAGGCCCTCACCACCCCATTGTCCGTGTCCACAGGTTATGCATATATGCATACAAGTTCATTGGTTGATCTCTTCCCACCCACCCTCCCCTGCCTTCCCTCTGAGGTTCAACAGTCTGTTCATGCTTCTATGACTCTGCGTCTATGAAGGACCACTTTTTAAATCTCAGGCTGCAAATGATCAAATGTGAAGTTGTTATTTTACAGAGACCCAGCTGATTTCCTAAACTATTGCAAATCTTACTTGTTGACTTACCCAGCTCTTAAGACTGGTAAAGCGCCTGCCATTCAGGGCAGTGGGAACACTTGGGAAGGGGTGGTGTGTGGAAATGGTGGATTTTGAAGTTTTATAATGTACAACCCCAGAGCTCTTTTCAAGCCCTTCTTGAATACTTTATATAATGACTTGATTTGTTCCTCGTTTAGGATTAAACAACGTGTTACTAAGCTTACCGTTGGCGTTCAAATGGACATTTCCCCCCTTTTCTTTCTTGAGCAGGTTGTCAAGTTATTAAGCAACAAAAGATCGCAAGCGGTTGGAATATTAATGTCTAGCCTTCACTTGGATATGAAAGACATACAACATGGTAAGTCTGAACATAAACATTCAGCTTTTGAATAGTACTGTGTGGGCTGAGGACCATGCTGTGTGGTGGTAAAATGATTTCAGACTTAGAGGTGCCGTGTATATTGAGGTTGGTATGTTTCCCCCAAGTGCTCCCAAACGTCCTCTCATGCTTGTTGCTGAAACATTTACTATTCATGTGACTTTCCTGTTGTTTCTGTCTCAATGATTCCCATGAGACATGTCTAGTCTGCATTAATATACATTTATTTATTTATTTTTAATATATCTTTATTGATTTCAGAGAGGAAGGCAGAGGGAGAGAGAGAGAGAGAAACATCAGTGATGAGAGAGAATCATGGATCAGCTGCCTCCTGCACGCCCCCCAGTGGGAATCGAGCCTGCAACCCCTGCATGTGCCCTGACTGGGAATGGAAACTCGACCTCCGGGTTCATAGGTCAACGCTCAACCACTGAGCCACGCCGGCTGGGCAATAAATATTTAAATTTTAATTCCTTAGAAGTACTAGCCTCACTGTCCTCTTTAACGAATGAGATTATACCTGAGGTGTTGCTTCTAGTTGCCATCGTCAAAGAGTGAGTGACTGATAAGCAGTGGTGAGAGGTGGGGACAGTGGGCATGTCTCAGCCATTGAGAATACCTGGAGAAGACGGTCCACAGGGGAGAAAAATAGGTTGAGACTCGAGTCTCAGGTATTGGATGAAGTAACCTACAGAAGAGGAGGTAAACCTAGGATTTTCCAATAGATCCATTTCAACCCCTGTAAGAATTACAAGGAAGCTTTATATATATATATTTGACTTCAGAGAGGAAGGGAGAGATGGAAATATCCACCATGAGAGAGAATCATTCATTGGCTGCCTACCAGGAAGCTGGTTTGGATTGTTGTTGTTTTAGGACTGCTCTGATGATTAGAGATGATGCCCAGACGCCTGGATTGCCATATTAAGGGATAAAATGAAAACTCAAAACTGATTATTTATCTCCGATGTCTTAAAAACACTGGAAGGGTGATGGGGTGTGTGCTTCCGGTCCTCCTGTTCCCAGACCATGAGATGCTCAAAGAATCACTGAAGCAGATTACGATGGATAACATTTTAGGACGGAGAACTGGTCTCTCTCCTTTCAGTTATATGGGACGACGTATGGGTCCACCACTGAGCTCTTCTACGCATCGACAGATTGAATTATCTTTTCTAATAACCATCAAAGATGGTTTCAAAGGATTCTTGCCTACTTATATTATTGTTCGTGGTCAAGACACATGGAAACAGTAATATCAGGACTGCTTGTTATTTCTTTTATGTTGTTGTTTTAATTTATGTCTTTAACCAGGCTTCTACAACATTATTTACATTTGGAATCAGGGTGATTTTTAACATTTTTCTAAGTGACTTTAGTGCCAATATTTTAATAATTGAATTCTACCCTCCAGTGCACAGGTATTCCTATGCCTTATCCTCCGATCACATCGGTGCCGAGAGATATTGGCCAAAGGTGAATAGAGGAATTAAATTTATATTCAGAATGTCCCTTAAGCTGCCCAGAGCCTTCGACTAGATTTAAAGCAGATTGAATTGTTCAGTGGAATGCCAGTTTACCTATTAAAGAAATGTGGTTTCCAGTACAACACAGACCTTATAAATCATGGAAACGTTGAACCGGCTTCCTAGCCTGCCCCTCTGTGAATGCGGATTGTCTTTGTTTGGCTGAAACGATTGTGTGGAATAATTCATAAATAGCACCAGCTTGGCATGCCTCGTCAATTGATGAGTAACTCTTAATCACGATTTCAGTTTTATTAAACTGTTTTGATGGCGAGGAGACTTCCTCGAGCCGGAGCGTTGGGGGTAGTCGTCACAGAGCAGGACGCCAAGTCTGGCGCCAAGAAGTACTTGGCGTTTCAAAAGCTGGCAGATGGAGCCTAGTTAAGTCATAGAAGGAAATCTGAAAATAATGACACGGTCTTTTCCTTCAGTCAAATATTCAAGCCGGGCTGAGTTAATAATGAGAACCTTATGAACAAAAGGAGCCCGCCTCCCATCTGTGTCTGTGGTAAAGCCAGCGAGAGTTCATTGAAAAATTTGCTAGCTTAACATGCAACGCTAACAATAACATAACATGGATGTCAGTAGTTTAAGGGTCACACTGAATTATGCATAAACTTTATCCCATTAGGACGTAAAGTGATTGCTTGAGTCACTTTGAAATCCTGCACACGGTTTTCTAAAAAATAAAATAAAATAAAAAAATGGTTGCCTTAAAAGCTTGAAGAAGCAAGCAGTGTGCATTCAAGGGATACCGCCTTGTTCTGCCTCAGTGTGTTGTCTGGAATTGTGGTTGACGTGCGTGACTCACCTGCGGCCTCCAGAATAGACTAAACTTGACTGCTCTCAGGATATGCGCCCGGAGAGAAGTAGCCACAGAATGTAGCCAGGCCTCCGAAGTCATCTTACAGAAGAGCAAACCAAGACCTTTTTTTGGTGGTCGGGCGTCTTTGTCAAGGTCACGCAGCTCTTCGGTGGAACAGACCGGATGTGCACCCGGCCCCTTAACCAACCCGCCCTGTTCTTTGCACTCAGATGAGCCACTTCCCCAAGGTTGTGCTTTCGCTATAGCATCAGTTTCTCTAAAACAGTGGTTCTCGACCTTCCTCATGCCGCGACCCTTTAATCCAGTTCCTCATGTTGTGGGGACCCCCAACCATAAAATTATTTTCGTGGCTACTTCATCACTGTCATGTTGCTACTGTTATGAATCGTCATGTAAATACCTGATAGGCAGGATGTATTTTCATTGTGACAAATTGAACATCATTAAAGCATCGTGATGAATCACAAAAAACAATATGTAGTTATCTATGTGTTTTCCGATGGTCTTAGGCGACCCCTGTGAAAGGGTCGTTCGACCCCCAAAGGGGTCGCGACCCACAGGTTGAGAACCGCTGCTCTAAAACAAGGCAAATGGAGTACTGTTCAGAGGAGTTAGTCTCTCTCTTTCTCTTCTTCCCCATTAAAACTCTAGAAAAGCTTAGAGTCGAATTGACTTTATGATGCTTGTGTGTGGAAGTCCCCTGTTAGAGTCACTAGCATGGAAGGCGTGGTTATATGAGCAAATCTTAGAAGTTGAGCCTGGCTACAGCTTGGACTACACTTTATCCACAAGGAGAGCGATTTGTGTTGGAAACTTGCAAGGCCAAGGTCTCCCAGCCCTGTGGTCTCTTCATCATTGTCTCTGCGCGGTGGGTGTCAGCCTCATTCCATGGTCATCCCTGTTGGCTCTGAGTGGCACGCGACGGGCGCGGTGAGGAGGAGATTGGCTTTGTTGGTGAAATGAATCCTGGGGACAGACATGAGTAGAATCTAAGTACAGACATGGACAGGTGCTCGTATGTATGGCGTTGACGTTATTTTCCTGATCATGAAAACCAGTTTCTAGCTATGAGTGTAAAGTAGAAGAATACTTCTTTAAAAATTAACCTATAAATACCCTTTCTGAACTACAGGAGCATTGGGGGTTGCTATGGCAACTCTTTCCCCAGGTATTGATGTTTCTCTCTCCCTCTCCCTCTCCCTTTCTCTCTGAAATCAATAAAAATGTATTTTTTAAAATGACATCAGAGAAACCCTAATGTTTGCAACTCCCCCCCCCCCGGATTTAACTGCCTCTGGACAATGAAACATTAAACTAATCTTTGCATGCATGTATATACATCACAAGGGAAAAAAGAAAACCCTTCGCTAACTGAACACACGGCCAAGTCTGACTTACACGCACCAAACAGCGCATTGCATTTTTTTTTGCACATATTAGCCACATGTTGAGTTAAGCAAACCACAGAATTATTCCAAGGGGATCATGCTGATTATCACGGCTGCTTGTTAGCTTTGTCAGATTTTGAAGTGTTTTGGAAAAGTAGTCCCGAGGCATGGGCTGGGAGTCAGTCATCTCTGTCATACGACGAAAGGATTAACCGCAACGGGTCCAGTTTCGGCGTGTGAGTGCTGATCTTCTTAGCCATACGTTGTAAGTTCCCCATGACGTGTTCTTTATTTCTTGATGCATTTTTCACTTCCAGGGACTGCACTGCTCGGCCCCTTCCCCTGCTTCAGCATGATTGCCGATATGTAAATGCTGAGGCAGGGGTTCTCAACCTTCCTAATGCCGCGACCCTTTAATATAGTTCCTCATGATGTGGTGACCCCCAACCATAAAATTATTTTCGTGGCTACTCCATAACTGTAATGTTGCTACTGTTATGAATCGTCATGTCAATATCTGATAGGCAGGATGTATTTTCATGGTTACAAATTGAACATCATGAAAGCATAGTGATGAATCACAAAAACAGTATGTAATTATAGATGTGTTTTCTGATGGTCTTAGGCGACCCCTGTGAAAGGGTCGTTCGACCCCCAAAGGGGTCGCGACCCATAGGTTGAGAACCGCTGTGCTAAGGTATAATATGCTAAGGAAGCTACTTAACTGCTTGTTTAGATGAAGTACTTTCAAAAGGGAATTTAAAAAAAACAAACCCAACCATAATTATAATCATCGTGTTTGTAAAGTCAGGCTTTCTGTGTTGGCTTTCCTTCCAAGTCAGACATGTTTGTATAGAATGACTCCCCCCAAAAAGTAGGATTATTATCTGGATGCGAGTCACTTTGGCATCAGACATGTGCAGATTCTGTACTGATGCAGCCATAGACATGCTGGCATGAGCAGTGACATTGGACACGGCTGCCCTTCTAGAATATGTGTTAGAAAACAGTGGCGGATGGGACCCCCCGAGCCAGGGCCCCACTTCCAGAGAGACTCGCTGAACTGTTTTACAAGAGCGTCAATGTTTACCTAAGCAAGAAGGTGAAGTCTCCTTTGCCCAATAAAGGACATTGCTCAGGACTGGTTTATGGAAAACACGCAGCAGACAGCGGACATTTTATACAAAGTACAGTGCGTTGTTTGAAACTCTTTGCCCATCTATACACTCCGCGTAACAT